CTATACTCTTCTTCATTTCTCTTCGAGACTATATTAGGTTATGCTATTATATATAGGTGTATCTAGCCTACCAAACATGTGGAGATTATTGGAGACTACTATATTAAACTATCTAGCTAGATGGCGTATAGTTAGTTAATATTCTACGTGATATATTGTTTTTCCTTATCCTTATATAGTATCCCCAACAAATGTTAGTATTCATTGTGATATAACTAAATTATTGTTTGTATAATATTTTCTTTACATATACAGCCAAGGCATCGATGGGAGAGAAAGAGTGGTACTTCTTCAGCCTAAGAGACCGGAAATACCCAACCGGTTTAAGGACAAACCGAGCAACGGAAGCCGGTTATTGGAAAACCACCGGTAAAGATAAAGAGATATACCGAAGTGGAGTACTGGTTGGGATGAAGAAAACCCTAGTTTTCTACAAAGGAAGAGCTCCAAAGGGTGAGAAAAGCAATTGGGTTATGCATGAGTATAGGCTTGAGAACAAACATCCCTTCAAACCAGCTAAGGTACATATGCATTTACAAAATGTTATCAAACTATTTGGAAGTTATAAGAGGATGTCATTATTTTAACAAAGTTAAATTTAATGCAATGAAAGTAGAGAAATTACAATTTATATACATTCAGGCTCGTGTCAATTAAATATTGGCATATAATGTAATTTTCAGGAGGAATGGGTAGTGTGTAGAGTATTCCAAAAGAGCACAGCAACAAAGAAACTACAAGAACAACAACCGCAATCTTCACAACCATCTTTTGGATCTCCATGCGACGCGAACTCATCAATGGCAAATGAGTTTGAAGATATCGAGCTTCCGAATCTGAATTCAAACTCATCAACCGTCGATTACAATCATATGCATCAATATTCGCAAAGCGGTCTTTATTCAGAAGACAATACAACAAGTACGGCTGGTCTCAACATGAACATGAACATGGCTAGTAATCTTTCATCGTGGACTACAAATCTACTTGGTCCGCCTTTATCTCCAATCAACTCTTTGTTGCTCAAGGCTTTCCAAATTAGGAACTCTTATGGTTTCCAAAAAGAGATGGTCTCTAATATCAATCCTTCTCATTTTCAACAAGGAGTCTCCAATATTATGCAAAATGGTTCAAGTTCGTCTCAAGTGCAACCGCAACCGCAAGAAGAAGCGTTTAATATGGACTCAATTTGGTGAAGGGATTCAAAGCAGATATATAGTAAAATTGAATTTCCTAACTTGTTCTTAGTTATGTAATCTCCATCAACGTCAATTGTATCATTACACACACATATCTATGTACTCAAAGTAAATTGATTAGTGTATCTTTGATGTGAAGGTATTAGAAAAAGTTTCCAATGCATGTCCTCCAAGTCCTTATATGTTATAAATTATAGCTAACGAACAAAATAGCCGCTGTATATTTATTTGTTGTATGTTTAAAATTGATGGTTAGAAAATCCATTTCTTGTCCATATTTTCGGGATTTTAAGT